ATTATTGTATGCGAGATGAAATAAATAATCTCAAGGATAAGAAAGGTACATTTGATGCCATAACAAATATACATTCTTCAGTTCAAAACGGAGTTCAACATTCCGCTTTATACAAAGACTCTTTAAATAACTTTTATTTCTTCGATTCTTTTGTGGTCAACTTTGGGTTTTATATCAATTAAGTTTAGGAAATCAGTTTGAAGAAATTATAATGAATTTAACTTAATAAAAATGGCGAATAAATTTGGTTTAGTTTCTTTACCTTTAGATACTAAAAAACCTCACACTACAACATGGATAAATAAAGCAAAACCTTATTTTGTGAAACAAATTGCAGACACACTTCAAGGTGATTTAGATATGAATAATTTTACCTTAACTAATTTAAAGTTACCAGAAAATAATTATGATGCTGTTCACAAGAAATATTTAATGTATCAATTGAATTTAATTGTAGTAAATAAAGACCATTTAAAAGAAAGAATAAATGATGTGAAAAGATTCTTCAAACGACAAATAAATAATAAAGATTTTATTGATGAAACTAAATTACAACAAGAAGTAACAACTTTTAAGAAGTTTTATTGAAGAAGAACTTCTAAATGTAGTAGATAAAACTCAATTACAAAGTTTAACTTCATTAATATCAAAATTAGATAGCAAAGCAAAAAATAGATCTTAAACAATTAATAGGTATAAGTGAAGATAAATCGCAGCAGGAATTAAGTCTATTTAAAACTAGAATAGAAAAAGAATTAATAATTTTTAAACAACAAACTTCCTGATACTCACCCCCTAAACATGCGATCAGCGTTTTAGTCTCCTTGGAAACCTAGTAATTGAAATTATTTTTCCTCTATAGTTAAAAGTTGATCCATTATTCTTTAAAGATTCTGGGGACGCAAATAAAACTCTTCAGTTTATTAATGGTAGAGAAAATGTAGAAACACAAGAATATAACCCCGACAACCGCTAGACGGCCTATCACCGATTTGAAATTAAAACGGAAAGAAAATATATAGATAGGTTTAGAATGATAGTTAAATTAAATAAAGGGGCCGCTGTTTTGGGTGATTTTCAAATGATATTAAAAACGGAAACTCCACCAGTAAGTATTATTAGAAATCCAAAACCACAAGAAGAAGTAACAAAGAGTTACGAGTTTTTACGAACGACAGACTTTGAATATGTAAAACTATATTTTATTAATACTACTTTTTTGATATTCATAAAAGTCAACAAGATAAAATATTTACAATTTTTCATCAATAATTGAAATTGAAAAAGTTGGTAGAGTATATACTCAAACATGTATGATAAAAATTCATATCAAAAAACCAAAATTTTCAGTTCATCTTTATAAGATTAATGGTCCGAAAGAAGAAACATCTATAGTAACTATAGAAGTTACTATTCATCAGCCTATAGTGTTTTATTTTATGGGAGAAGAGGTTCCGATTATGACGCTTTGCTTTATCAGAAATTCACTTAATTTAATGTGGTATTGTGGTATTAATTGGTAGCACTAATAGTCAGTAGTATCGATACTGAACCGAAGATATAGCAACGACTTGGAGTAAGGGGGGTTTCGCCTTTGTAGCTCTGGGAGTTCAAATGGTTTTCTAAGCCCAAGTGTCGGGATTGATGCTTGACTTCGGGTTTTGGATTTAGCTTGTAAATAATAAGATCTGAAATGTTGTAAAATGTAATATGAATTGGTCTAAACATATAATATTACAATACAATATAATATATAAAGATAGTTGGTAAAATATAACTATTAAATATGAAGACATTTAAATATTAAGAATATAAAATACTAAAAGATCTAACAGTTCTCACCTGAAATGTTGTACAATGTAATATGAATTGGTGACGACTGATGTTTGCTGGTCATATTTATATTGGTCATTGCATCATAGGCCTCAGTTTATTATCAGTCGCCATCCAATTCATATACATTGGGTAACTTAATGAGCTAACTATTTATATTAGCTGTCATATTATCTAAGATTATCAAAAACATGAAACACAGTTGATTAGCATTACTATATAATTGATATTCTTAGACAATATTACATGTTGTTATATAGGCTATTATATTCGCCTGTGGAATAAAAAAAATTGTCCTCAATTTTGAATTACCTAAGTATGTAAAAGTACAAGAATAACAAGAAGAAAAAAATACAATCACCTAAAATGTACATTAATATAATATAAAAGATGTAGAGTATATAAAAATATGTTCAATATAAAATAACTTATGGATACATAATTATACTAATTCGAAAAAAAAATGTAGAAAAAAAAAGATATTAATTTAAATGTATGGTATGGTACTTTCAAACACTGTTCAAGTCAAGTTGTACTGATGTTAGGATAAAAAGAACCATTGGTCAAAACCTTCTAAGTATCCGGAGTTGATATGGAATTATAAGAATGGTGGCCAAGCAGTAAGTACACTGAACAATTGTCACCCTTAAGGATTTGGTGTAATTTCCATAGTTGAAAATATGGAACTTTGATGGAGTGAGGTATTTTTAAGGGTTTATGGGTGATTGTACTTACTACCTGGAAATTTGGCCAATTTAAAGATAACGAAGGGAAACATGAAAAAGATAATTGTTGGGTGAGTTAAAGTCCAATATACTGGGCAATATTTTAAATTAACAATTGGCAACAATACACATTGACATCCGTTTGAGATTTCAAGAAGGATTTGAGTCTCTGCTCATTTTGATTTAAATAATTTTGAAACTAATATGATTAAAATGATAATAGCTAAAATGAAAGTAAAAGTAGGAACATGATCTGAAAATTTGATAGGAGAATTTTGAATTTTAGGAGCCAAAGTGGTTAAAGGTTTATAAACTAAAGATGGTAATTCATTTATAATATTTCCATTTGCAACATCGTTGCTGATAAAGTTCGGTATTTACATAGTGATAAGATGAAAGCAATTAAAGATAAAACGGAAAAAATCAAGGATATAATAGTCAATAAAAAAATTAATGTCAAAAATAGAAGAGTTAGAAGTTGTGATTTGGTCATCATAGAATGATTCAGATAGCGTTTTGAAAATGACTTTATCCTGTTATGTTTGATCTATGATCCTTTTTAAACTTAATGACTGGACTTTATCAACAGCGATTATTTTAGAAAATAAGTGTGAATAAAATTGAAATTTTGGAATATTGGTGATATTCAGGTCTTTTTCAGAAAAGAAATGTTGCACTAATGCCAAATTAATTGGATGTAGCTTTATGATTGTGTTGTACTTGTCATATGCCTGACATGACCCTAGAGATTGAGGCACAACAATATCATCATTAAAAATAGTACATTGGCATGGAATACTAACAATGCAAATATTACATCCTTCGATTTCTTTTTCTTTGTTATTACAATTAAATTTTATCTTAGATATGTTACTTAATAATAGAGAATTCTTTGTAAGTTGCTTTATATATTTGAGATTGGAATGTGGAATAAATTGAAAATTACATAATGATTTAATTTGTTCTTTTATGTCAAAAAATAAAGCTGTAAAGTAAAAACTTCAGAAGATGTGAAAGGTAATTTATAGAAGCATTGGTAATGCTTCGAACCTTGACAATTCTGTAATTGAATTGAATTTATTTCAAGATAAAATTTATTTGATTTACTTACAGCTAAATATTCGTTTAAATCCAATAATTGAGTGGTATGTTGTGAAGTAACATTAATAGGTACAGGGACAGTGTCAATTTTATATAATTTTAGATGCTGAAAATCACTTGTAATAGGAAATTTAATAGATAAATAAATTTTATTTGATTTTCAATTGCAATAAATTTAGCATGAGAATAATAATATGATGGGTTAGTATATAATATTTTAAAAATAGGATAATGTCCATCTAATAATTTTTGAATACTATGTATGGTACTTAATAATATTTTGTGTGAAAGAATTAAGGGTGAAAGGGTATTTTCAGTTAACTGTTGTAAGCCAATTTTAAAATCAGTTAACTGATGTTCCATCAAGGCTGAAGTTTGAATTTGTTGTGATATTAATTTATTCAAAGTCATAAATGCATCTTCAAGACTATCAAACGTAGATTCTAAGTTCTTTGAAGCCAGAACAATTGTTTTGTGGTTTTCTTTGATGCTATTAAGAGCGTTATTTAATCTTTCGTTAATTTTATTGGCAAAAGAAGAAAAATGGTCTGAATGTTTCACTAAAACATTTGAAAGCTTTCGATCTTCCTTGGTTAATGCATTTATGTGCTTTGCCAGAAGATTGATATCATCATCTGTAGCAGTGCCAAAAAGCGATTTAGAAAAAGAGCCAATGAAAGGTAATAATGAGCGTTTTGATCTGCTGTCTAAATTAATTTTGCTTAAAGGAAATAAGTGTTTTATAAAATCTAATGTTTGGTTTAAAAATGAGAAAGTTCTTAATTCTATATGATGAACTTCTTTGTATATATTTTGAAAAAATTGACATGTTTGATTATTAAATTCACAGTGAACAATCTTATTTGATGGTGTTGCATTAGGTAATGTAATTTCAAATGTGTGAAGCCAATGTTCCACACCAAAATTTATCGTTTGACCTTCGTCGGTAAAGATAACACCATAATTAATTCGTTGTCGAAAATCATTGCAATGAAGTTGTTGAACTGAACTGAACTGAAATTTCCTAAAAGAGAATGAAAAGTAAGATATACGAGTAGCTTAGCGAGTTGAGTATTGGTTGGTACCTAACCAAATACTTCTAGCACTATAATTCAGTGAACAATTCACTTACAAAATTTTGTCTTCCTTGCTCATATTATTTTCAATCTAATATATCCCAATGATTTATTTAGAAATTGTTTTGAAAAATGATTTTGTAATGGGTCGTTTTCGTTTTCTTCCTGATTTTGTTTTTGATACATGGTATACAGTTCTGATATCTAGAGGTACTTGAAGAAGATAGAAGAATGATAAGAATTGATAAAAAATACACCCTTAAAAATGAAAGTAGAAACTTTAGTTATGAAAATAATAGAAGCTATTGATACAGCTTCCCCAACTGTAATAACTTTCAATGGTAAAAAAATCAACATAACTAAAAAACTTATTGATAAATATAAATATTGTAAAGTCAGAGACGATATAGACTTTAAAAGAATTGACGCCAACGCAAAAGAAGGTGGATTTTTACCTTTCCTTCTACCATTAATATTTGGTGTTATTGCAGCGGCGGGTGCAGCAACTGGTGGAATATCTGCCGCAGTCAAAGCTGCCAACGCAAAGAAAGCAGCTGGTGCTAAAGCCGCTGAAGAACGTAGACATAATTTAATAATGGAAAAGGAAGCCAAAGGTTCAGGAGAGGGAGATATGATAGGTACAATAAAAGAATTTGGAAAAAGATTTGGGGAAGAAACCAAGAAAACTGTTAAACAAGGATTAAATAAATTAGTAGATAGTATTGACACAGGAGAAGTCAAAGTCAAACATAAGCGTAATGGAATATTTTTAAAAAATATACAAACTGGAGAAGGAATATATCTTTCAAAGTATAAAGGAGAAGGAGTTATTTTTGGAACAAATTAAAATAATAATAAAAATGGGCAAAAAATTTAATCATTCAGAAATATTTCCTAATAACCCAATGCTCATGTGTATATGCGGTAGTTCCGGTTCTGGGAAAACTCATCTCACTTTTAACATGTTGACAACACCAAACCTTTTAGATTTCGATTCTTTGTATATCTACACAACAACACCAGAGCAATCGTATTATCAATTTCTCAAAACTTTAGAATATCTACCAAAGAAAGATGTTCAAGACCTATTTCAATATTACGAAGAAAACGAAGAAGTAGTGGAAATAAAAGATATCTTAGACATCGAAGGAAAGAAACCAACGGATATAATAGTTTTTCTTACGAAAAATGTTAATGACCTAGACCTAGACTTGATAGCAAACGAAAGAACTTAATATTGTTTGACGATTGTGTAGCGCAAAGAAATCAAGCTGTTCAACAAGAATTCTTCACGAAAGGAAGACATCATAACTGTCACTGCATATACCAATCCCAATCTTTTTACGGGATGGATTCTATGTTTATTAGAAAAAATGCAAATTGTTTTTTATTATTTGAATTAAACAATAAATCATTCAGTCGATAAATCACGGAATGGACAGAGATTCATTTAAAAAGGTTTGTAAAGCTCAATGGAAAAACCCAGATGAACATGGATATGTATTCGTTAATACTAGAAAACCTGCGGGTGAAAGAGTTATGATCGGCATATGTTAATTTTAGTTTTTAAAAATGGATAATTGGAATAATATTTTAAAAAGAAATAGAGAATATATCAAAGCTAAGAATAAAATATGGACCCAAGTTGAAAATAACAGATTACAACAACTCGTATTAACGGAAAATCTACAAACTCTTTTTCAACCCATATTAAAATCTCAAGAGGATATTAAAAAAAATTAGAACCTGAACAAATTCAACTATCACCGGTTCCTTCTCAAATAGAATATCCCATTAAAGATGATGAAATCATAATTAGGTCATTATATGATATAAATCATTATTTTTCAATATGTGTCAATTGCGTAAGTTTTTGTTTTACTTGTTATAATTTTTCACATCATTATTAGCGTTATTTATCACCTAAATATATATTTTTGCATTTTTCATCATAACTTTCATCTTACTTTATATATCCCCAAACCCAGTTTGACTTATTTGCATAATTTGATCCCCACATTTTCACGCTAGCATATACAGTTTCCTCCTGTTACATCCGCTGTACATTCCCTTTCTAACCTCAAGTTATTTTCATTATGCTCCCCAACTACAACAACCACTGGCAAGAAGCCAGACATAGAAACACTAATTGTCAACCAAACCAATATCACGTACCCTACAACGGCCCTGTCTTCCATCGACCTCTACCACCTACCAATCGCCGACCACCAACCAACCCATCCAGCTATATCCCACCCCATCGCCGACCTACCTACAACACAGCCTACCAATCAAGAGGTAACCATCGACCTGACCAACAACAGAAACCACTACAAGCCCACCGACGCCAACCAGTCCCCACTCATAAGGAGGAAGAACCCTTTGTGAAGGTGTCCTCCAAGTTTTGCAGCGCCTCCATCATTTGGAAATCCTTACCCTTCAACAGTAAGGCCAACCAGCGTTTACCTTCAAACGCAAAGTCTCCGAGTTGGATAGTTTTATCCATCCAGCAATGAAAACATCAGCTGTTGACGCGAATATTAGATCCCTCAATCGGACATGGCTCTCTAAGGTTACGCAGGTCCTGATCGACCATTACCAAACCACACTTCAAGAGAAGCTGACCACCATTCGTACCAAGTCTTTATCATCACATACCGTCGACCACATCGTTTCTCATGCCCTGTCCTGGGCCCGTCGCTCCTATGCGAAACGTTTCACTCAAGCTGTAATCACCAAATTCTACCAACGAATCAACTAAACAAAAACCAGAGTAACCATATCTCTACCAACTGAAATAGACACTACACCTGCACCATCTAGAGCCACCACGCTGCCGAACCAAACCCCTAAACGAGCCCGAAGTTCACCTACTCCTAGTCCAGCAGACATAGGTAAACGCTCTCGTAGAGAGGGCACTCCCCTTCTCTTTTCACTTTCAGACTCGTCTTCCCCTTCCACACCATCTGAATCTTCACCACGTGATCCAGGATCCGCCAACCTTTCTTCCTTCTGTGCGTTTTTGGACCAGCAAACCACCCCTCAGTCTCCATCCAAGTCGAGACGTGTATCCAGACCTCCCCCTCTCCCCTCGAACCAGATCCCAGTCCGTTCCCAATGCTACAATTGTAACAACTACCAAACCAGTACCAATCACACCGTCGACGACCATTATATCCGCTACCAAACCGTATTATCACCAAACCAAGGACAAATCATTATGGAAGCTACCTGCTTTAAAGAAATCTACCTTAATAATTGGATCATCTAACCTGAATCGAATTACCAAAATCAGTTCAGACACTGAAATACATTCTTATCCCGGTGCCCAAATCCATCACATACCCTGGAATCATACGACCATGATCCCAAACCTACTACCATTATTCTTCATGTAGGCCTCAACAACCGTGATCAGCTACCAAAGACCTCCTTTAACCAAGCCCAGAAATTAATCGTTACAGCCAACAAATCTTCCCAAACTCCAAGATCCTCTTCACATGTATACCCAATTCAAATAAAATCTCGAAGAAAGCACAACAGAACCTTAGCACTCTCAACAACATGATGATGGAGTCCAGTATCAACAGCGCAACAATCTTACCACCCTAAGAAGAAGAATTCGAACCAGTTGATAATCTTCATTGGTCTCCAGAAACAGCATTCATTTATTTTGGATACACCAGCTTCAAGCATCGAGTAAGTCTTTAAACTAATTACTGGGGATAAAAATACTGAGAGGCCACCGCTAGGCCAAACTGTAGTTAACTTAAGCCGCAAAATTCTCACACCCCTTCAGCATTCAATCTTAGACCGTGGACTTAAATTTATTCCCACACCAAAGATAGCTAACTTGAATTATCTTCGACCATTCATTGAACGATTTCAACGAAATCTTAGCTGCACATATTTTTTTCGAAACCACCCCCCCACGTGGTGCTAGAACAATGTTTATTCCTAAATCCACGTGGACACCCCCTCGGACCGCCATCCATCCTGAAATATTGAAAGCATTTGCGAGTATGAATAGCCAAACAGTGAACCTTTCCATAACACACGAAAAGCCTAATCTCACACGAGTAGATCGTGAAGCGTTAAACTTACTTAAGAAAGACGATAGCATTGTTATTAAAAAGAGTGACAAAGGTTCATGTTGTGTCATTCTGAATAGGGAGGATTACGTTTCAGAAGCAGAGAATCAACTGAATAATCCTAAACATTATGCCATTTTACCGAAACCAATTTTCAAAGAAACTGCTAACATGATTAACAATATTCTTGCCGATTTAGTCAAAACTAGTTATCTCAAACAGAAACAATATGACTATCTGTCTGGCAAACCTGATTGTCGCGAGAGACATTTGTACACTTTGCCTAAAATCCATAAGAATCCAACCAAGGAGTGGTTTATCTCGAATAAAATCCCTAAAGGCCGCCCGATTATATCTGACTGTGATAGTGAGTCATGTGCAGTGTCAGAATACATTGATCATTTCTTACTACCTCTAGCATGTCAACATCGCGCCTACCGATTTTGTCAATAAAATAAAAAATCTTTGAGTTCCCTCTAATGCTATTTTAATTTCTATCGACGTTTCTTCTATGTATACCAATATCGATAACACTACTGGTCTAACGGCAGTTCGTAAAGCTTTTAATAGAAACCCAGATCCAAACAGACCCGACGATGCAATTCTACAGCTTTTAGAAATTTGTCTTAGTCGAAACGATTTCACATTTAATGGTAAAACATATTTACAAACTTCAGGGACAGCAATGGGCAAGAGCCTTCAAGAGAAATTCCCCCATGTCTATAAGCAGAAAATGATAGTTGCATATTCAAAAAATAAGAACTTAAATAATAATATTGTTCATAGTAAACTAAAAACAATCAGTACATAACAGATACTATACTTCTCGCCCAACGGGCGAGTTATTTTTTCTAATTTCAGATCAGAATAAGAACAGAAGATGGATTTTGAATACTATTTAGTAATGTTTACCCTTTATTCGAAATCGATAAAAAAGACTTTAAATTTACAACAACATAAGGATTAATAGATTTAATGAATGGCGGGGATATTGAGATTGTCAAACGCAAGGATTTAGTAGAATACTTAAAATTTCTGTATATGATAAAGAATAAGCCCAAAACAAAAAGATTGATGGCAGTTGAAACATATTTAAATAAAGTTATTCCTGATGAAGAGGAATCAGATGATTATGCAGAAGATTATCCACCAATCATACAAGAAATAGATGAATTCGAAGATATGGTATCTGGAGAAGGTATAACGTTTTTATCCGACAACAACTTAATAGATTACAAATTATATTAGCGGCAATGAAGGAAGGACATCGATCGCACAGACAATATAATGAAGTGAATTGTATATTAAAAAGACTCCTAGAAAAAGGTATCATAGATAAAAATGATTATAAAAGCGTGATTAAAAATGTCAAATAAAGAACAACTATTCGTCATCACCTCAAATAAATCAGACATTAAATTATCTCTAGATTATGAGTGCGAACTCGATCGCAATCAAGAATATGAATTGGGATTAAAGTATTTCTCTGTTTACAATTCCATTAGAAATATCAACGAAAAAAATAATCAAATAAAAATAT